TACTAGTTATTTAAGTTATTTTTATTTTTTTTGGTAAAAACTAATGAAAATAAGACATAATTAATATGATAACTTGTTTACCTAGTAGAGGGTCATGCAATTAATGACCCAATCTCGATGACATCACTCTAATGTGACATTTATTATATAGACATTTAACTAATGATTAGAGATATTAAGTGTATAACTGTAAATATTATGTAGATAATATATGAGTATTTGTTTACGGTGGCATTCGTTTTATGGATTCTTTATGTTCGAACTAGCACTACAACGGTTTCAATTTAGGTATTTGGTTTAAGGACCGAGAGCGTAAGAAGTAGATTTAATAATTACTGCTTTCCAGATATTCATCAACGATTATCAAAACACAGTGTCCATGCACGTAGATGCTTAAATAAACAGAATGAACAATAGATATAACTCCTAGACAAATCATGGTTCATAGTCTTCAAGCATTACATCATTATCAGAAATTACATGAATGAAAATTAAGTGATTACAAGACTAAACTAATCTTAATCTAGAAAGGAAAAAGAAAAGTGGTCAAGAAGCAACCATACCCAAACACGATTCCATGCACGAAAGTCATATGCGCAGGCAAAGAATGCTCCAGAGCTCTATTCAAGTATGAGTTTTCCGACCTTTGTGATGATACAGACCTTTTGAATTTATAGAGTGAATTAACGACGGTTAACTTCATGCATGTAAGCCACTATGTGATAACTGCTATCCACTATGCTCATTTCGTGGTTTTAAATTGTAACTTCTCATAATCGTTCTCCTATGTCTATTAACTTCTCGACATAACCGTTACCTCACGTATATTGACTTCTCGACCTGTACGTTAACTACCTTTGTATGACCATCAGTACCCCACACAACTTTACTACTTTTTGAGCATATCATTGTCCAATCTCGAAATAATTCTTTTCGATCTTGAACATTTATTATTGATAGGTGTACGACTTTATAATATCTTTCGAAGAATCTCATGTACTGTTTTGACTTTTGCAATTTTCGAGTAGCCCTAACAGTATATATATATATATATATATATATATATATATATAATAAATATGTTTTAATATGATTTAGAGTGCTCTATGGGTTCCTCCGGGAAACCATACGAGAAATAGGCAAAATATGAAATATTTTCTGTTTTGATTTCTGATTTTTCTGTTATATTCCTTGTTTGATGAGATGTAAAAATATGTATTTAATTTTATAAATAAACGAGTTTTGATATAAATTAAAGTGCTCTGTGGAGGCTTTGTGAATATGATGATGTAAAGTGAAATGTGATTGAGACATGGGATATGAAATGTGATAATGAAATATGATGACGAAATGCGATGATGTGATATGACCATGGGAAATGATAATGTGATATGAGAATGCATAGAGTCAATACTCTTGATCATATCACTTTAAAGAAAATATTTGTTAGATGCTATGAAATTATATTACATGCATAATGTTTTTGATCTTAAAGTTGTCAATTTTATTGAAGACTAATTAAAAATTCTCATCTAAATATTATTTCTGAAAAATATTAAAGGTGAAAGTCAAGGCAAACAAATATATTATTCATTTGAATCATTATAGTATGAATCTATTTCAATTAATAGGAAGTATTACGTATTGTAATACATGGAAGGAAGTGTTTATCTTGAAACATAATTGTCATTAAGCAAAATTGTACTTTTTTTTATCATTTATCTTTTAAATTTAGGTTGAATTTGGTCCTTCTAAACTAATGGTCATTTTTAATATTGGGACACAATTTGGATTCATTTTTTTTTTTTGTCTAATTTAAGACATGAAAATTGTCTCATTAGATTCACTTACATGAACATTATTAAATCTAACTAATGTTTGAATAAAGAAAGAATTATGGACATGGTGAAAATCACATAAATCAATCTAACAAGCATTCAAATTTTTTTTTTTTAAATCCAATTTTAAATTGTTTTGTAGTTGCTTGTGAGATTTTTTACATTATTTCTACCATATTTATATAACCTTTTGAGTTCAAACATCAATTAGATTTCATATTTTTCATACAAATGAATCTAATAAAATAAGTTTTATATCTTAAATTGATAAAATAAAATAATTTAAATTTTTCTCACAAAATTAAAATGATCATTATTTCACATTGGTCAAATTAACCTAAATTTAAAAAATAAAAAACTAAAATAAACATTTTGAATATAAATGATGTAATTTAACCTAAAATTTTAAAGTAAATCAACATTGTATAAGTGTTTATATAACGATGCATGCATCTAAATACTTAAAAATTGTAAAAACACTTATCCACATAAATATAAACCGTTATATAATAAAAACTTATTAAGAAATAAAGAAAATCTTAATTTAGTTGTTTTTTCAAATAGGTCCTAAATCGACGAAAGAATACTAAGTTGTTATTTTTGGGTTACTAATTAAACTTCATATATTTAAGTGTAAAAAATATATTGTAATTGCATAACATAATGTTGTAGTACGAATAATATTTGAAGTTGTAGTGATTAAATGTTTGGTTTTACTGTTTTAGATTAAAGTATCATATAACAAAAACTATTATTTTATTTGTTTGTACCAAAACTAGTAATTTAATTCATGTGCAATGTATTGTATAAATGCTTATTCTATATCACTAAAATTTATAATAAGTAAATAAATATTTTTAAATATATGTTTCTACAGTCTTAAAGTTTGTTATGGTTCTCGTGAGTATATGAGACTTGACTAATCTAAATTATTATACAATAAAAAATATTTTTAAATATATGAATTATATTATAAATAAAATTATAATAATTTTTTTAAAATATATTTATATTTTATATTTACCATAAATAATTTATATAGTGATATGAGGTTATTTTTAACTGATCAATAATTTCTTTTAAAAAAATATTACCTCCTCTGTAGCTTTAAATATTTAAGGTCAATGAATATAAATTAAGAAATATTTTTAAAAAAGTATTCTATATTTAGACAAAAAGGCCCTTATGTAATACATGATCTTTAATGTTGGAAAAGGAAAAAAAAAAGGAGTAGTTAAAAATTTTGTTTGATAGAGAGGAAAAGTTAAAAGAGTTAATTCTTTTTTTATTTAGTTCATAAGTGGAGAAAAAGATTTTAAAAACTAATTTACTTTTATATTCTTATAATTTTAAATTTAATAATGTAACGAGTCGCCATGATCCCTATATTTAGAGGAATCGTGCTAACGAAACTAATCAGCTAAGACAAGATATTAAGTTGGATAACAGAATATACACATAAAGGAAAAGAAATCAAATATTTATATACGAAATATAGTACTATGTATATACAATCATCCAAAATAATATTACCCTAATGCCTGTGAAGCACAAACAAAACAGTTACCCAAAATGGTAACTTTGACACGAGGACAAAACTCCATGTCTCACAGCAGTCATAGCAACCAGCTCCAACCTAATCCTGACCTGCTCCCATACACAGTATGATCATCGTAGTCCATCCACATGGAAACAAAAGGGTAAGCTAGAGTTCAATAAATAATCATACAAGTATAGAATAATAATCTATACTACACAATTATCTAATCATATCGGAAGGGACTTCCCTCTCAATCAATCATCAACCTATCAATCATGAAGTCAAACACCATACACTTCATCATAATAGAAATCATACAATAACAACAACTCATGACAGATATCAATGCATATCAATCATCTAATGCGTCGTTACGCATTCACCTAGGAGATCTCCCTAATAACAGAGTAGTATAAGTGACATCCCATCCTACCGAAACCACCCCAACCGTTTTCACGCCCAATGCGCCCGCTCAGTCATAGCTAACCAGGATATAAATACCCACTTGGTTTTACTCGGATGATGTCACTTACACACTTGGAAGTCCGGTTCCACCGTCAGGTATAATACAACTAGGTACAGGCTTACCACGACCTTGGCATGCATTACCAAGTCACTTGTGGAGTTCGCTCACCGACTATCCGCAAGGAACCACGCACCTTACCCAGTACTTGATTAAGGGAATAACCCTCAACCTCATACCCCGCTCCAACACTAGCTAAGGACTTAGAGGAGACTCACTCAAACCAATGGCCTATCCAAGCCCCACTCCTACCCAAAAGCCAGTGGCCTATCTAAGCACCACTCTCATTTGTATCAGTGGCCTATCCAAGCACCACTCTCAAGAAACTCTATATGAGCTCTTCTAGTTCAAAAACATTTTCCCTCTCCTCAAGCCCTAGGCTAGACACATGCCATAAGGCATCACATGCAACAATGTATCATACATCATACATGGTCAATCCACCATCATGATCAATATCATCCTCATATGAACATACACACATGTCATATCATATTTAAACATTCATATATATCATTACTAAGTATACATATGAATCATACATCACCATACATCATATATCATACATACATACTTCACTCTTAAACATGCGAAAGCATCAATTTCAGTCAACATCACTAAGCATACTTACGCCAGAGTAGCTGAGTATTATATTTTTTTTCCATTGCGTAGTACAATTACTTTACTAAAAGTAATAATCTAAGGACATTACATTAGTTCTAAATTAAATTTCAATATTTAAAAACTATAAACAACTAAAATTAATAATAATACTATATCACAACATGAATTATTTACTATAAAACTTAAATAACATGATAAAAATACCCATTTATTACAAATTTTAGTATGATGAATGAAAGACCAAACGTAATTTTAGTAGAGACTAACGCAACTTTAATCTGCATTATATATTTAACTATCGATTAGCAGTGGCCGACCTAACCTGCATAATAGGATCTGGGGGAGCTACTTGACGCAAAAATTTTCTCCAGCAAGAGTAAATTTATATATTATAAGATAATCTTTAGAAGAATAGAATCTAATCCCTCGGTTGACTGCAAAAGAGACACGCTTATCCCCGATTGCACTCATAAGCATCAAAATTAAAATCTATCAACTCTCGAAAAACTAAGGATCCTTTCATTGCATTGCAAGCAATGAATTAATATCTCAATAAGCTCAAACATCATTCAAAATAATAAATGCATCAACAAAAGTAATGTCTTGGGTCTCGACCTCAAAATTCAAAATTTATACTAACGATGATATGACAAAAAAACTAATTCATCCTTCTAATAAGCTCATTTATGTAATCTTCCCTGTTGCCAGCGTCACCACCTTCAACATAATGATTTCTTTTCTTCTTCAGACCACCTAGGGGAGCTTTGAGCTTGAAAGGCCATAGAAAATTGTTTGCCTCCCTGAAGTGAGGTCCAACAGTCATTATCTCATGGATCAGATCTTCGATGCAAATGATCCCATTCTTCCCCAGAGTCTGAAAATGAATAGTGTAAGTGATAAAATTGCGTAATAAAATAAGAGTTAATCATCCATACACCGTAGGTGTAAAATTTTTTACACTGACAACCAATCATATCTTTTAAATTATTTTATTTTATTTTTATTTTATTAAATGAACAACTGACTTAGCATTATTAAAAGATATGATTGGTTGTCAATGTAAAAAAACTTTACAATGGCAGTGTATAAGTGATTAACTCATAAAACAAACCAGCAAAGAAAGTATTTAAAGACTGCTGCTTGATAACCATACAGACCTCCTCAATAATAGAGTTGTCTGTCAAAGCAATTCTCTGCTTGTTAACTTTTCCGAAGCCCCTCTTGTAGATCAATTCTCTTACACTCTTCAAATTAGGGTACCTGAAGTAGATATGCAAAATATTAAGAACCCATGGTGCAGGTAATAACGAACCATGATAATCAAGAATGTTGAAATTTTATATACCCATAGGTAACATATGGCTCAACCCTGCGCAGCATATTCACGGTTGCTTTGTTAACTTTGAGAAAAACGCCATTAAATATCTGCAGTCAAAATAAATATAACAATAAGGCTATACTGTTATTAAAAACAACAATAAGGCTAAACTCTAATACTGCTTGGACATACAATATAATCATAACACAACACAAACACCCACACAATTGCAAAGACAGTGCATAACTTTCCACATAAGTAATATCCAACACATTTGAGAATGATTACAAATCCTTCAAAGCTCCAATTGCGGCCAAGTGTTCACACTTCACAAAAGCATAGCTTTTGGTATAACGATAATAGTGCATTCACCAAAGAAGGTTTTAGCAAAACTGAGTTTATCTTAAGGAGGATGAAGTAAATATTGAATAGGTAGGACATTGTTGCAAATAGCTAGCTCAATCAACAGAACCAGTCGGTTTTCTTCTAGGTTCACTTGCAAAGCATGATTAAAACACTTTTAATGATCCTACCAAGACCCAAGCAAAATGATTTTTATGCTGGGTATAAATTTTAGAAACATTTAAACCAGCAGAACATGTAGATTGTGTTTCTACAAACAAGCATGCCATTTTAAATTACTTTATATTAAACATTCAGTAGAACCAAATCTTTTTAGCATGAACATTACTGATGTTATTGCTATAACTAGGTCAATAACTTGATAAAAATGTTAGTGAACAGCTGAAGCTACCTAATTCAATCTTATTTGACCTTGAGACACTGCACTTCTCACTGCATGTAACAAGAAAATAAGGCAAACAGTAGCTCATCTTTACAAGCTACTCTGGACCAAGAGTAATTTTCAAAATAATCACTTTTCACAACAAAGTTTTTCAACTAAACCTATGAAAATAGGAATGTTGTACGATTCCAAAACAATCAATGGTTTTGTTCCTAAAATTATTAACTATACAACGGAAAACTCAAAGCCTATGCTATAATCATAAAGCAAAATAATGAAGTTTGCAGCACATTGTACAACACCAAGATTGAGTTAGAAATCGAGCAATATAATTTCCATACCCAGGCACCTAAAAAACTCGTTTAGAAAAAATCATAATTGACTTTCTCAAGCTTCTTGTCAAACTCAAGAAAATAGAATTCAAGGTTTACTGCAATTTAATTTAATCAGCCAAGCTGTAGGGTGTAGGGTTTAATCACATTGCACATCAAACAGACGCAAATATCAAATAGTTCAAATAACAAGAGCAACCACAAAGCCGACAATAGCACCTACTTCCTCCACCGAAAACAGAGTTACTAATCAGTCATCAGCCTCAAATAAGATCAAAAACCAATAGCAACAGCTCATTATGCAACTACCAATTAAAAGAAAACCTAAAAAGCCTTAATGTGTATTTGAAAGTTACCTGTCTCAAACGCAGAAGCTGCAAAATCTTCCTTGTTTTGGGGTGCATTGCATTGATACTGACATTACATAAATCCAATTCAATCATAACAATGACAACAATCAAAAGGTAAAGAGAGTAATATAACAATGGCATAATATATAAATATCAATGAATAATTACCCGCGGATCCTGATAATGAACAAGAGCTTAGCTTCGGGATCCACATAAAACCCTCCCTTAAGTTTGGCTTCACGCTTCAACCTAATGAGTTCCTTTTGCTGAACAAGCACACACACACACACATGTTAAAAATGAGTTTTTGCGCGTTTCAAACCTCTACCAATGCAACGCTCCCAGTTGGAATTTGAATACCTGCTGGTCGTATTCCTTGGCGTACTGTTTGGCTCTGCTAAAAATGAGTTTGCGCGTTTCAAACCTCTTCTTTTGGGCGGCATCAAGTTCCTGTTTTTTGGCCAAAGCCCACTCCTCATTCCTTTTTTGCTTCTTCAGCACCGATTCGGGAACCAAAGTTTTCGCTGCCTCTTCGCCCATTCTTCATACAACAACAATCACATTAAATTAACCAAATCACATTAAATCATAAATTCAAGAGATTTCAATAATTTGAATAAGATTTCATCAGAAGAATGCAGAGAGAGAGAGAGAGACTCACTCGATGTTGTGCTGCTTACAACGGCGGAGGGTCAGCGAGGCCGTGAATCTCCGTCTTTTTATATATATAGGGTTTTCTCTATCAGCTCAGCTCGTTGGTATGTTTAGCTTTGTGGGCTTTTGTTTCTTCCGTGACTTTTTGGGCCTCTTATCTTTCTAAACTATTAGGCCTGCCAATTATTATTTGGTTCATGATATATACACCTCTTTTTTTCTGTAAGTACACTTTTTCTAGAAAAAAATAATTAAAATTTTAAAATATTTTTAATTTTTTGTTTTAAATTTTTTAATTTTATATCTACAATATTTAATTTAGTATTTTTTTTTACATATCTTTCCTCTTTTTTTCAATTTTTACATGCATTCATTTATTTTTCCTCCACCTCACCTATTTTGATAGCATATGAAAATTGAAAGAAAAAAAAAAGTATGTGAATAAAAAGAAGAAAATAGCAAATTGAAAGTTGAAAGTGTAAAATTAAATTTTTTTAAATAAATTATAATATTTTATAATTTTTTTTTTAAAAAAAGGAGGTGTACTTATAAAAAAAAGGAAGTGTATATATCATGAGCCTTATTACTTCCACTACTTTTTTTCTTTAAATATATCACTCATTTTTTATTAAAAAAAAACATATATATATAACTAATGATAACCTCTTTTTAAGTTTTTTTTTAGTAAAACCACTTTTAAGTTTTAAATTATATTTTATTTTTATGTAAATAATACATACTTGATACAAAATTATTTTAAAATATTGATAACTTTTTAAAATATTAAAATTTAATTTAGAAATAAAATTAAGAATAATTAATTAAAAGAGATACAAAAATTGAGAATATTTTTAAAAATAATATCTTTAACCAAAAATAGCTTAAAATGATTATATTGAAAAAATAACTAATATTTTATCTAGTACAATACACATGCATATTTATTATATATAATATATAATTAATATTTACAATAAACTATATATGTAAATA